TGGAAATGACCGAGGACAAAAGAATTGGGATCAAAAGAAAGGGGGAGGAGTTCACAAAAGAAGACGCCATCGAAAGAACAGCAGGGAGGAGTTTGGAGGCCAAGAGGAAGAAGACTGGGAGAATAGACCCATTGAGAAAATTGAAAAATACATTCACTCAATGAAGGCCAGAGAGCAAACATGTTCGAACTGCATATGGCTTATGTGAGAGAGGAAGTCCAAACAAGATGCAACGACATCCCACTCACAGAAAACCCCAATGAAATCCTGGAACAGAAAGAAGAGATGACAAAATACTATGCCCAACAATATAGCAGAAGCAAGAAGGAACAGGCAAGAAGACAGAAGGCAAAGGAGGGAGGAGAAGGTCAAAGAGAGGAGGGGGGATGGAGAAAGCACAGGTCCAAGATGCCAGAGCTGCCAGAGACCTACAACAAGAGAAAGAAAGAAAAGGAGAAGAAGAAGGTGGGATCAAAGGAGATAAGGGGAAAGGAAACAAGGACCAAAGGGGGAATAAGAAGGGACAAGGAGAAGAGGACACAAAGGAAAACAACCAAGGAACTCAGCAGGAGTTGGGGGACCAGAACAACGAAAGAGAACCCCTACTGGTACAAGCAGAAATTATGGAATATCAAATACAAAGATTGTCAGATTTGAATGAAGAAACGAGGTTCAAAACAGTCACGGTTGGTTCGCTGAATGACTGCACACAAACCGAATTCTGGAACAGGACGGTAGCCACGAGAAAAACCCTCCTACCCTCGAGAACAATCTTGGCAGTAGAGGAATGGAAGATTGCCACGACAGCTAATTTCACCCTCCCCAGGTTGGAAAAAGGACAAAGCATAGACGAAAGACTCACTTCTACAGTCTCAAAAGAAGAACCCCTCAAAATGGGCCTGTTGGGGGAAATGTTGAGGGAGCCAATTATAGGAGGAAAAGAGACCCATAGCAAGGAAGAAACATTGGACGTAAGACCAGTTGTGGCCATCTACAACCCAGGTACCTCTGTGAGAAGCAATTTGCAGTGGAGAGCTTGGTGGCAGATCTCACAACGGCCATACACTGCCCTCGGCACAAGCACATTGCCAAAACTTCCAGCAGCAAGTCTGGCAATTTCCTTCGCCATTGGGACTCACAGGATGAGCTAAAATGAGTCGGGCAACCTGTTGCAGATCCTGCAAGAGGAGGGAGAGGAGACAACCCTGCGAGTGGTTGGGTCAGCTCACTCTCCTTGAAAACGCTCACACCACGAAAACCTGGGGCCTTGATACATTGAACCATGGATGCAAGAGAGGATCAAAATGAAGGGGGGGAGAAGGAATATAAAAGGACAAAGAGAAGGGCAAAGTTGAACATAAGATCGTGGAACGTACATGGCCTGGCCACCATCTTGTCATCTCCTGCAAAATGGTTCAGCCTGACAGCCAACATCAGCTGGTTTGACAACGAACCTCCTGTCTGCGTACAGGAAACCCACCTGACTAATTCGGAGGAGCACCAAAATATATAGACTGAGATTGTAAGGAAGTTGAGGAATGTATGGAGAGCAAATGGGCTCACAGCCCCAACGCAGCCTCGGCCGGGGTACTAACCCTCTTCAACAATAAAGGCAAAGCACGGGAACACCTAAAAATATGCCAAATAACTAAGGACCCCACAGGTGGTAGATGGATCAGAATTGACCTTACCCATAGACAAGAAAATATACTGATACTAAATATATACACTCCAAACACAAATGCTCAAAGAAGAGAATTAATAGAAACTATCAAACAAGAATGTCCGAACCAACAACATATCATAGCAGTAGGGAACTGAAATGCAACGGTAGGCCCTCTTCTGGACAGGATCTCCCACGCTAGGGAAGGGTACGACAAAACAGAATCCCATACCATGCTAGACTTCATAACAAAGAAGAAGGTAATAGACCCGTTTAGAACAAGACTCCCATAAATTCAGCAATTTACTTGTCCTAGGAAGCCCCTACAGGGGAAGGTAGCTTTCTCAAGGATTCACTAGTTCCTAGTCTCAGACTCAATAGCAGGCGCTCTACTAGGCTCAACTATATTCAGATACCCCTTTCACGAGGGTTTTGATCATAAGCAGATAGGCCTACTACTGAACTTTGGCTTAGATAACAGTCTAGAAGAGGCTTCTACAAGGTTAACAACTCCCTATTAAAATTGGATGGATTCAAGAACGTGGTCAAGCAAACATGGGGGAGACTCTCACCCAAGATGCAGGGGGCACCTGCCACAGCGCGGGCGTCAGCCGGAGTAGCAATCTGGCTCCCGCCAAGCCCCTCACCTACGACTATGACAGGCAGCAGGGAAGATGGGTGTATCTCAAGGCAACAATTCAAGAGGAGGAGTCCTACCTCGTATGCGTTCACGCCCCCAATGACCCCAATGCCAGGGTGGACCTTCAAAGACTTCCCCCACCCACCCCGAGGCTTCACCCAGCGAGTACCCCATCGCCTTCGTTGCACATGAATGAGAGCTCTACATTCTCTCAGCAATTTATTATCCTTGTCATTAATGAGGAAGTCTGTCCATTACTCCAGAAGACTAATTTGTTTGTTGGCAAAGGAGAAGAACGAGTGGTATGTAATAACCCTATTCAGAAGTAGCCTGGGGCTCAGAACTCAGCCCCAGGCCACGCAGACCTGAGAAGGTCTGCGTTGGGCTGTGTGACCAAGACACGCCCAGGCCTGAGTCTGTTGAGTGTGGCTGTATGACCGCACGCTGCACTTAGGAAATTCAAGAGTCAAAGTCAACTGTAGAGTCAAAGGTACCGTACCCAGGCCCTGGGATGGATACACTCACTTGTTGTGCGCAGGTATCCAGACAGCGTCCAGGCCGGAGGGAATTCGGTTTCAGGCCGATCTGAGCCCTCGTTCGCATTGAGATCTAGACGGCCGAGGGATACAGCAGCCGGGGTCCAGACCCCGCGTCAACATTACATAAGAGTTGACTTCCTGGCTTTGACATTCATTCTGTCTTGCGTTGATGCTGACTTCACGCATTGACTTCGACGCTGGCTTGACGATGCGACGCTGGCTCGACCTGCTGGCATTGTGACTTGGCGAGGTGTTGCTATTCCGGCATGGTGGTCGGCTTGCTCCTGTCTTCTTGGCCTGCTGACGTGGCAGCTGCCATGCACCTTCGCTGATGTGGCTGCTGCCACGTGTATCAAGCTGGTGTGGTTGCTGTCCACGTGTTCTGTGACAGAGACTACATATTCGGCATTGCTGTTCTGTTCGTCGTCACTTCAGGAGGAGATCAGGACTGTAGGGGGGAGTTCGAGGATACGTACCTGGTGGTCTTCATGTCGACATTGCTCCAGATGCTGATGTGGAACTGATTGGTCGTGCCACATGGCACATTGAGGATACTCGGATACTCATTCAGACTATTGATTGATGAGGTGGCAGTAGAGGAGGGAGCCCGAAGCAGGAGTGGGCATTTTTACTTCCTCTCCTTTGTCTCTTCTCCCTCCTCCCTCTTCGTCTGTGTATGATATCTCACCTCATTCTGTCTGATCACGATTTTTGACTATTT